ATTTGGTTGTGAATATGGTCGTTTCATGACCAAAGATGGGTTGTGAAACACCAAAGATCTGGCCTTCTCAAGGCCAGATCTTTGGTGTTTCACAACCACATCTTCGACTATGAAACGGCCAAATCTAGTCCTTTCCGGCCATGGATTTGTAATCCATGGCCGGAAACATCTTTACCAACACACGACTGGCAAGATCTCGCTGGTCTTACCCCGATATGATGACTTTCGCTGGCGGCCAGGGGTGGTGGCTAGCGATCGACGGTTGGGTGGCTGGGGGTATTTTGTTAACTTTTAAACTTTTTTGTAGCTAGGGTGTTTTAGCTATATTTTCAAATGTAGGAGGTCTGGATAATTGTTATTTGGTAGACATATGAGTGCAAATGTGTTCAAAATGATAAAAGATTAAGGGCAAAATAAGGTCAAAATTAAGATTACCTAGGTAATCTTATATTAACACACATTGAGAAGATAATCTGATTACCCCCAATATTACCAACAATAAACACTATTTGTAATAAAAGATTACGTAATATTTTATTACTTGACAACCAAACGAGGGAATCTTGAAAATTAAACAAAGATTACAAGATTAATCTTATATCACCCCGAACCAAACACAACCTAATATTAATAAAATATAACGTTATGAATTTCGTCGAGATCTCTTTATTAGTTAATATACATGAATGGGAAATTTTTTAAAGAAATTATGGAGGTTTTTATTGTAAAATTTGACAAAAATAAAGATAAAATATTGTGAGGATGATTTACACTTTCATCTCTAAGGTTAGGAGTGCATTTATTTACATCAAGTATTATGAGATACATGCAATTTAGTCTAATTAAGTGAGAATTTTCAATGAAATGTCTATTATACTTACGTTATCTTATTCACATATTATTAGGGAGTAATACATATATATAAGTAAAAAAATAAAAAAAGAAGCAAAAAATATAATTTACACTTAAAAAGAAAATTCAAATTTTCATAAAAGTAATGATTGATATCCAAATATAATATTTTTTTAGCACATTATAAAACTTGTTTAATTTCACTATTATGGAAATATAAACATCATCTAAGTATTACTCATCACAATTATAAATGCAAAAATTCATCAAAACTAAAACCCGAGTGAACAACATAAAAAAATTTAAGGCATCCATTATACTATTTTTTATCTTTTATTTATTTCTAATAACATATGAACAAGACAACAAGGTTATAATAGACTTTTTATTGAAAAATCTCACATAAATGGACTAAATTGTTCGTATTCTATAGTATTGGAGATAAGTGCAATGTACTCCAAACATTAAAAGGATGAAAGTGCAAAAGTGATTTTGAGCTAGGGTCTCCTTGGTGTTCATGCATGATTGGGGCACGACATGGATTTTATAAAGAATAATGTTACGGACACTGATAATTTGCACTGACGTACGTGACATCCAGTTAGACGTAACCACATTGGAGACAACACTTGTCTTTTGTAAATGAACGGTCATCCAACAATTATGGACACCTGTCCATATTTGATGAACGACCGTTCATCACAAATGGACAAGCGTCCACGAAAATAACAATGGACTCTCGTCCATATTATTTGAATGAGAGTCCATCTACTATGGACGAGCATCCACCTCATATGGATGCCCGTCCATAAAATTTTAGAAATAAAATAGTGGATGCCCGTCCATAAAATTTTAGAAATAAAATAGTGGATGCCCGTCCATATAATATGGACGGGCATCTTATATGGACGGGCATCCATCACCAATTCACCATCTATAATATGGATACCTGTCCATCACCAATTCACCATCTATAATTTTTAATGGAAGGCCAAGTCTTTGAATCTGGATGGGCGTCCATTTTTTGGGAGTTTTATTTTCTAAGCATTTTTTTTAAGTGTAGTGGGCATAGCATGAGCACATTTGATGCCCCACCTTCAACGTTGGTTGATTATGGACAAAAAGGCTTGACTTTGGATGGGCGTCCATTGTTTGGGAGTCACAGCAATGTGTTTATTTTCTAAGCATTTTTTTTTTTTTTAAGTGTAGTGGGCATAGCAAGAGCGTTCAAGTTACCCACTCATTTTAAATAAATAATTTGACAAGTTCTGTTCTCATTGAAAATGGACGCCCGTCCATATAATATGGACGGGCATCTATTTTTTTTTTAATAATTTAAATTATGGACGGGCATCCATTCGAGGTGGACGCCCCTCTATAGGAAATAGACTCCCGTCCATTGTTATTTGGGTATAACAATTTGTCCCAATTGATGGACGGTCGTTCATTTGTGATGAACAGTCGTCCATTAAATATGGATGAACGTCCATAATTGTTGGACAATCGTTCATTTATGGAAGATGTGTTTTGTCTCCAATGTGGCCACGTTTGACGGAATGTCACGTTCTTCGATATAAAAATTCGGTGCAAAAAATCGGTGTCCATAGCATTATTGTTTTATAAATTAATGTTGGGCTATTAAATTTTGAATGGGTGGTGCTATACTGCTATTTGCACTCTACTAATACTAATACTAATGGACTAATAAAGCCTCATTTATTGGGACACTCTATTTCTATTGTTTTTAAAATTAAATTTTTTTTCTTATAACATCCCCTAAATTTCATAGATATCCTTCATTTTTTTAATATTTTAAAAGAGTTAACATTTTATTCTGGTCACTTATGCTATATACCCTAATCATTGTTATTCTTAAAATAAAATTTTAGATAATTAAATTGGAAGTTCTTAAAACATTAAAACTAAAATAATCCTTTCAAATAATCCAATATATATATTAAAATAGCTATCAATACTTTGAAGAAAAAAATAACAAATTTATACCTGAAACAATTAAAAACTTACAATTTTGTATGCTTGTGATTTGAAGTATCATATTACAAATTTCTTCCTCCATTAAATTATCTTTTTATTCTAATAATGATTTAAATAGCATAAAAAAATTAGGGTTTATGAGATAATAGTGAGGTGTCAAAAATATTTGTTAAGATTAGAAATTAAAATTAATTTTAATAATATAATTTGAGGATTAATTTATCATTATAAAATTTATTAAAAAGTAGGGTTTCTTTAGTCGTTAGTGGGTGCCAATAAATACATTCATTTTGAATAGATCATGGGCCAATGCCAATTTAAGGGCTAGACCATTGGAAACCGGATTATAACAATTTGATGGAGAAGTATGGAAGTCAAGCTAAATAAACCCACATTTTTTTAACACCCTCTTTTATTTAAATAATGGTGAAACTGTAATATGCAATTTTTTTTTTTTGGTTACATTAGTAACTCATTTATTTATTGTTAATAGACTCTTTGTTTGTGTCACGGGCCTAGAGTTTCGACATAGCGGAACAACCCATGGGATACCCCAACATCACACTTGAGCAAGGTTAAGCTTGCATGTACGCCACTAATCGACTCGAGGTTCATTGGTTTCATCCTGCTATGGACTCATTAGGAGAATGACTCTAATTCCCGACCAATTTGTGTATGGATGGCCTAATCCCTTCTTAATCGTCAACTATGAATAACTTCTATCAGTTCATGCACGCTCCTTTCATGGAGCACCTCCCTCCATTTCCCTCCTAAAGAGTCTTATTAAGCGTTGTCAATGTACTAGGAGAAAACACACCTAACGTCTCAACTATCACACCCCACATGAATGTTTTGCGAAACCTCACAACTTTGTATGCTCTCTATAAATCACACTTGTTATTCTTGTCATAACATTACAGAATAAGGTTATAACGTCTTTATTTGAACACACACTAATAATCTTATATTTTATTGAGTTGACTCATATTGATTAATTGCACCAAATCCAACTCGACAATATTAAATCAGATCTCCTGCCAAAATTTATCCCAAAATATAGACTTTTGGTGGTTTATTTTCAAATTTACGTGCTGTTCCTCAGATGATTTAACTTTATATTTTCAAATTTCAATTTATCATTACCCTAGTGCCCTAGTGCTATTCTTACTTCAAAAGTATCCATTAACTTTCAAATTTTTTTTTTTTAATATATAGTTTAAAAAATCCCATATAAATCCTTCGTCCCTACTAAATAGTACATATTGCATTACATTTCAATAACAACTTTCCTTTAGTGGGCTGGCAATGGTATCTTTCCCAAGGCATCCAAACACCACATGAATTACACTAAATGGGTGTAATCTTATCCCTCGTGAGGGTGAGGCTACGCTTTGCCCTGTCCCAAATAAGCAAAAAGAAAACCCCAAACAAACAAACACAAACAACAATAAACAATTCCAAGCCATGTTCACAATATGACCGTTGAATCCGGACATGCCACGTCAGCTCCGCTCTGCTATTCTCCTCGTAGATCGTGTCCTAACACTGCATTAACTCAGCCTGGTATAAGAACAACACAAACACCAAAAAGATTAAAGAAAAAGCCTGTACGCTTAAGCGACTCAGCCACTGCGCTCCCTGTGGTACGCCTCACTTGTTACTGTGGTACTTCGTGCAATCTCAACCGTCCGATTTCTGACGCACAATATCTTCATCAAAATCTAGCTGTTGTACGCTCTCAAATAACGTCATGCGCGCATGGGAGGTCTGTGATCTGGATCAATAAGAAAGCGCGTGTTTGTTACGCGCAGTATATGATAGTTTAAACTTTAAAATAACATCTCTTATAATTATCAAAAATATTTTTGTAAAAGTGTTAAAAATCTTTCTATTAGATGTTCTTAATATTTGATTATTTTCTATAATCATAAATGCTATTAAAATTAATTAAGCACATGAAAAATATCTAATAATAACCCTTAATAAGTTTGGAAGTAAATGATAATCAGGGGTTTATAGTTTATACTCTAAGAACGATGAATTAAATATTAGAGATAATATTTTAATTTTTTGTATTAATGTGAATAATATATAAATAAATATTAATATATTACAAATCAGAATCGTGCAAAGTAAAAAGCTATGCCCGAGAACTTTCGGATTCTCTTACAAGACAAAACTCCAGCTCTTTTCAACTATAAACTAAACTCCTCTCCGTTAGTTTTGAGTTCATTAGTTCAACTTCAACTACAACTACAACGTCAGCCCACCTCAAAAGAAGCTAAAACTTTTCTCTCTCTTTCTTTTCTGGGGTTTTGGGTTTCCTCTAGATTTCCTTTACGAGGTTTTAAACAAATTTATATGTTTCGAGTTGTTTCTGTATTCTAAACTACTATTATTATTTGTTGCAAAAGAAGAAGAAAGAAGATTTAATAGAAATGGCTTTGATTCTTCTTCTTTTTCTTCTCTTCACAGTCTCCGCCGTCTCCGCCGATGAAGGTCAGTTTCTTTCGGCTCTTAGTTGGTTTTATTATGCGCATTTTGTTTGGTTCTCCTGTGGGTTTTTTATATCTTTATGAATAAGCTTGAAAGTTCTGAACTTGTTCTGTTGTTGTTTGAAAAATCTGATTTGAATCTTCTGGTATAATTTGCCTTTGTTATGGTTGTTTATTTACAGATTTTGATGTGCTTTTTCTTTTGTTGCATCAGATTTTGAATGAATGAAATAAGTACTCCTGCAAGTGGTATAGCATTTAATGAGTGATTTCTTTAGTCATCAATGTGTTTGCTAAAAGAAGGAATGGAGTGCTTTAGACTTCAGAGTTTGTATTAAAATTTTGTGTCTTTGGTTTGTTTGGTCAAATTACTCTATTGTCATCATGGAAAAAGTTTCTGTAATTTGGATCTTTTCTTTGCTTTCTTTAATGGGAATCTCAGCCATTTTGCTACCCAGCTCATGTGGCAGACCTTTACCTGACGAAATAATATGTTTTAGGACCAAAATGCCCTTCAACCAATGATGTCTTTATGTCAAATGTTTGATCTTATGTATACTTCTAAGGGTGGTGTTGTCATTTCATAGTTCTGCAAGATGACATGCTTTTTGAGTTGGTCCACTGTATTATATGCTTAAAACCATCACCTTCGTAGTTGTGTTACACATTCTTAATTCCTGGAAAAGTAGTAGATCTAAGGGACATAGTTTAATCAGAAAACAACCAATCAGTTTTATCATAAAAAACTAGTTAGGAATGATAATGATGATGATTTGATGGTAATTGAACGAAATCTGCTGAACAACGAAATCAGCATTAATGTGATCTTACTTTTGTACTAGATTTGGCCTTCAAAAAGGGCCGAGTTTAGGGGGGTGCTTCTCATGCTCTGTGATATGTCACCTACCTTGTTAGTATGTTAAGAAATTGCATATCTCTCTCTATAGAAGATCACATCAACCTGAAAATGACTTTAACTTGTCATCAATAAACATGAGATGGTTAGGTGGTTAGTTGATAAAAGTTGGTGGCTTGTTGCCCAATGAAAAAGCTTTCAGAGTAAATGGGTCCTCATGTAGTAGATGATTTGAAACTGCATGTAGGTTCTATGGTTATAGTACTTCCCTCGTTTGGCACTATGCATTTTGTGCTCATTGCATGCTCTATAAGCTTATAAGAATACTTGCGCTATGGTTCTACATTTTCCATATTGAAGTTTTTATGTCCCGGCACAATTGTGCTTGATGAAAAACGAATAATGGTGTTTGACTTGTTGTGCCCGTCCCCATTCTTGTGGTGGACCTTAGGTCTCAATCTTCTCAACACCGGTCATGACATGTTTGACACTGCTTAGGTTAATTGGGAAAGTGATAATTAATGATAGAAACAAAAAACTATTTCATGCCTTGGGTTTTTACTCATTTGCAGCATACATTTTTGTTCTGTGCTCATCTTTTTTCCCATTTCAAATTTGTTGGGTTGCATTAACATAAGCGATATTTCATGGCACATAAAATAAACTGTTTGATGGTCATTGATACTCTGACGTTCTTCTAAGATTGGACCTCGATAATTTGCTTGTCATAACTTGCTCCCTTGGGTAACTTCTTGCAGATGCCTTCATTGGTGTGAACATTGGTACAGACCTCTCGGACATGCCAAGCCCAACTCAGGTGGTGGCCCTTCTCAAGGCTCAGAATATTAGACATGTCAGGCTCTATGATGCTGACCGAGCCATGCTTCTTGCCCTCGCCAATACTGGAATCCAAGTGACTGTTTCTGTTCCCAATGAACAGCTCCTTGGCATTGGTCAGTCCAATGCCACAGCGGCCAACTGGGTTGCTCGCAATATCATAGCTCATGTCCCTGCCACCAACATCACTGCCATTTCTGTTGGATCCGAAGTCCTTACTGTGCTCCCAAATGCCGGTCCAGTCTTAGTCTCTGCCCTGAAGTATATCCATTCCGCCCTAGTTGCCTCTAATCTTGATGGCCAAATTAAAGTCTCTACCCCACATTCTTCCTCTATCATACTTGACTCCTTTCCTCCATCCCAAGCTTTCTTTAATCGTTCCTGGGATCCAGTCATGGTTCCTCTGCTAAAATTTTTGCAGTCCACCGGTTCTTCCCTTATGCTCAATGTGTATCCATATTATGATTACATGCAATCTAATGGTGTAATTCCATTGGACTATGCACTTTTCCGCCCCCTTCCTCCTAATAAGGAAGCAGTGGACGCTAACACTCTTCTACATTATACTAATGTCTTTGATGCTATTGTTGATGCTGCATATTTTGCAATGTCTGATCTAAACTTTACCAATATCCCAATTGTTGTGCTGGAGTCTGGCTGGCCCTCGAAGGGTGACTCATCTGAACCAGACGCAACAGTTGATAATGCTAACACTTACAACAGTAACTTGATCAGGCATGTGCTTAACAACACAGGAACCCCTAAACACCCTGGGATTGCCGTCAGCACTTATATTTATGAGCTTTACAATGAGGATACGAGACCTGGGTCAATCTCTGAGAAGAACTGGGGGCTTTTTGATGCCGATGGAGTACCAGTATATGTCTTACACTTGACAGGTGCTGGGACTGTTTTGGCTAATGACACTACGAACCAAACCTTTTGTGTTGCAAAGGATGGTGCTGACCGGAAGATGCTACAGGCCGCACTTGATTGGGCTTGTGGTCCTGGAAAAGTTGATTGCTCAGTGTTATTGCAGGGTCAGCCATGTTATGAGCCAGATAATGTGATTTCACATTCAACATATGCTTTCAATGCCTATTTTCAACAGATGGGTAAATCGCCTGGGACCTGTGATTTTAAAGGGGTAGCTGCCATAACTACCACAGATCCTAGTAAGTAACTGTGGCATTGCATGTAATAACATTTTATTTTTCGAATTGGATTAATTAGTGACCATTGATGGTTCTTTGAAGAGTTTTTATCTCATCTCCACGTTCAAAACAGTTGCAAGACTTGTATATCATCATTGTTACCTGATAATTTAGCATGCTAAAGTTTGCTTGGCGTCATGTGGTCACTATCGCACATAATTGAAAAACATAACACATTGTCAAACTTTTTCGAGAAATTTGATTATTGATCCTTGCTGCAAAACTTACGAGTTCTTGGAATGGATATTCTCATTTCTTTTGTTCACTGGATATAGATGCATGCAAACAAAACGTTGTTCTTCATATCTTCTATTGATTTGTTCATTTATTCCTTGGTTAACATCTATCTATTTACTAATGTTGTTTACTTGTCTCAGGTCATGGTTCTTGTATATTTCCTGGAAGGTATACATTAAAGCTTTGATATATTAATATCGTGTTTCCATATACTTTCAATTATTTCATTTGTAAGACTGTCATGAATGAACAACTGAAGTTTGGTTTACACTGTTTATACTATAGTAAGGGAAGAAATGGCACTATATCAGGAAATGGAACATCACTGGCTCCTTCATCAAATTCGACAACTTCCGGATGCCCTTCACAGTACTTGTACAGTGGTAATTTTGTCACAAACTCAGTGATAATAGCAGTACTACTTGTGAGTGCAGTTTTCTTGTAAAAGTTCACACATTGCATTTCGCGCAACTCTTTGCCTGGCAATGGGATCTTTCAGAACATTCAATCTCGTTTCTGTTGGAAACTTGCAGTACACCCAATTTTGTTCCTCCCAATGAGGAGATGCCGGGTGGCAAAGTCGATTGAAAATACAGCGGCTAGTAGTTCTCCAATGAGTTAATTAGATTTTGTACAAAACAGACCAAAAGATTTGTTCAGGATTATTGTTGTAACTATCTTTTTAGGCTTAATTTGGTTGTATTCTTTGAACTGGGTTCCTGAGGTGTGCATTTTAACCCGTAGCATGATGTTCATTTGGTCACACAGTCACTACCAAGTTCTCTTTTCTTCTATTCTCGTAGTCAATGGTTAAAGCTGAACATTTTCTATATGCCACAACTTTTAAAGCAATATGGTTTCGTTTAAATTAACCAATTACATAAAAATCCTGACTCACATCCTGGCAAACATCACAAAGAAAGCCAGAGGAGCCAGGAGAAACAGTCTGCTGAAGGGCATGCCGCTTACAATAAGGCTTGTTGCAGAAATCACATTTTGGAAGATGAAGCCAACACTCTGAGCACAAAATATCCATACAAGCAGTCTCTTCTTGCTCAAGATAATCCATACATCCACCGCATTGAGCACACCTTGGAATGCAAACACAGCAGCCCTTGCATTCCCGGAACCATTTGCTCTTCTTGTCCTTGATATTGCACAGCACCTTTGCACACTCAAAAACAACCCTCACCTGGTTGCACCTTGGACACATTTCAACGTCGATTTGCCGGTCACTCGCGGGCAAATGTGACGACGAATTTCTGTATTCATGATACAGCAGAGGCTGATTCTGATTCTGGGGGTCTGATGAGTTCAGTTTGAGATGTGAGTGAAGTGTCTCAAGGTGTTCTTTTTTTATGCTGTAAATTCCAGCTAGTTGTAAGCTTTTTAGAGTCTTGTTTTGTTTGGAAAGAATTTCCACAGCTTTTATGATTCCTTCAGGGCTTAGGCCAATGCATCCTGGAATGTGAAGCTGAATCAAAGTAGCAAAAAGGAGTAAATAATATTAACAAGAAGAAACAAAAGTCACCGCGAAGATAAGAAAAAAAAAAAAAAAATAGAAATTCGAAGAAAAAGGAGTAAAAATTTTAATAAGAAGAAACAAAACACCCACCAAGAAAATAAGAAAAACAAAACTAGAAATAAAGTAGCAAAAAGGAGTAAATAATTAACAAGAAGAAGGAAAATACCCACCAAGAAAATAAGAAAAAGAAAACTAAAATTCATGTAAAAAAGTTGAAAATAATAAATACCGTGTTGATAAGAGGGTTATTTCGAACGACTTGAAGGAGAGCCGAATCAGTAATCTTAACACAGCTGATCAAACCCAAAGTTGTGATCTTTCCATTCATTTTTGAAGAAAGTTTTACCAAAATCTCATCAGAAAGTCGCCAGTTTAGAGGACCCTGCACGACCAGCCATTGAAGGACATCGTTGTTCACTGTGTGTCTCAGTGACTTGCAGACTTCACTCATGGCGAGAAGCTCGTATAAAGGAAGATAAGTTAACACAACAAACAAAGCTTCATGGGGTGGCCCTGCAACTGCTGCTTCTTCTTCATGGTGACAAGGGAAAATTGAAATATTTTCCATGGAGTTTTGAATGACTTCAACCTCCATTTTCTCCTCCATTTCTGAAGTTTCCATGAGATTTTTTTGAAGATTGAGAAATGAATGAGAGTGGGAAAAGATCTAAAAGCTTTATCTTCTATTTCTTGCTCTGTAAGAAAATTTGCCAATCGGTTTCCATCTTTGGGGCCCGCTTCTTCAAATTAGCACGTGGACCATTAAAATCTTAGTAATTGACCCAAAATAAGACAAATGAAAACCTTGTGCAGACAATCTTATTTTGTTTCGTGAAGTTTTTGAATGGTTTTAAGACCCGGCCGGTCGGTTGAACCGGTTCGATCAAGAACCGGTGGCTAGATTGGATTAGTTCATATAAAAAACCGAAACAAACAACTGCCTTGCTTCCATCCGCGGTTTGACTAGTTTTTTTGCGGCAAACCATCGGTCCAACTGGTATAAACCGAGTCTGTTATAGTGAAATATAAAAAAATAATTAAAAATTAAAAATAATAAAATTATAAGTTAAAAACTTAAAATCATTTTCTGAGTTTTCTCCCTTCCCCAATTTTATTCGACAATACCCAACACCAATAGAGAAGAAAAATAAAAAAACCCATTGCCAAACAAGGAAATCATCTTCAGCTTGCACTCTCTGTGTGATGGTGATACTGGTTTACTCTTTCTGGTTTAACTTTGGTCGTAGTGTTGTTGCATTTTTTATCTGGTTGCTCTGACTGATTTCATTTGGCCGTGATTCCAAACTGGGAGTTTTAGTTCTCTTTTCTCTATTTTTTTCTAGTTTATTTTTGTGTTCCAGATTTGGGTCATCGTAGTTTTGGTCCTTGTGAAAATTGTGAGTTAAATTGAAAAGATGCATGGCAAAAACATCCCTTATTTGGTTTATAATATTCTCAAAGAAGGATGAGTTTTCACTGTGCTTTGTGAGGAGAGAGTTTATGGATGATTCAAATTCTCTGTCTTAAGCTTTCCACTCTAGTTACTCTCTTCTCTATCCAAGTTGGTATATTGTAGACTTGTAGTTTTAATTTCATTTCAGATTTGGATACATTTGTTACATAGAATTTTTTATTATCACTGTTAAAAATTAAAATCTGCATTTTTTTGTTTTTTGTTTTTTGTTGATGTCAGCATGATGACATTATGGTTTGACCCGTCAGTCGGACCGTTCGACCTGTCAAACCCGTGACTAGGTGGCTTGGTCGGGTTGCCCCCAGGGTTGGGTTTTAAAACCTTTTGTCTAATATTTTTTGAACTGCTTATCATTGTTTTAAAAACCGGACTGGACCGGCAGGTCCAACCGGTCAAGTGTCCGGTTCGAGTCAACCTTAAACCTGTCATTATGCATTAAGCCACTTTAACCTGGTCAAAACTCGGATAAAGTCAATGAACCGCCGGTCCGTAAACTGGTCTAATTTCAAAAACCCCTAATCGCAGCCCATTCCATCGATTTCCTTTCTCTGTTTCTTAGCTTCTTCTCTTTCTCAGTTTCTCTCAGATTTCTCAGCTTCTCTTCGAAAGTTTCTCTCTAAAATCCCACTCAAATCGCAATCAACTCCACCCCCTAAGTCTGAAATCGCAACCATTCAGCATTCGCCGAGTCACAACTGAACTCCCTCACCGGAAATCGATGGCATCTTCCTCCCTTGCCGGAAATCGATAACAACAGCTCCGTTCCTCGCTGGAAATCGACGGCAACAGCTCCATTCGTTGACGACAACTCCATTCCTCAATCCAGGTAAGGCTCTTGCAGTTTTGATCCTTGAAATCGCATACCCTTTTTTTAGTTTTCTTGTGTTTTTCTTGATGGGTTCTCACTATTTTACCTTGTGATCTTGCTTTATGTATCTGGGTTTACGTTGTTGCTTTGGACCAGTGCTTGGTCTGGTCAGAAAGTTGTGATTTTTGTGATCAAGATTTGGTTTTTGTGTTCATTCGAGCCTTGATCATGTTCATATCGTTTGCTTTGATGATTTATGGTTTCCAGATTAAATAGCTGAGGTTTGTGTATTGTAGTTCTTGGCTGCATGCTTCGTGGTGTCGATTCCGATGGACTCTTTGCCAGAATCAGCTAACGCGTCCTTCCGAGGTTCAATGGGTGCTTCAAGCAGACCCTACGGAGCAATGGATTCTACCAGTAGAAATTACAGAGGTGCACAACCAACAAGATCTCCTAGTTTTTCATGGCAAAGGTGCATATAAAATTTAGTGTGTAAACTATGAACCAACAATTTTTGTCAACATGTCCCGTGTGTCTGCTGAAGTGTTGTATTTTAATTGTTCATACATTTTATTGAATGAAATCGTTATTCTTTCTATTGCAAATCCCACCTTACGAGTATATTTGATTTTGGAATGTTGTCCCTGCCACATTTTGGTTATATTCTCTGACCTTATTCAAAAATTTCATCATCAAATTATAATTTGATTACCTTTATGTTTAGTGGCGTCTAATATGATAATTATATTCTTACTTATTATGTATTTTATCATTTAATATGTAAATACAACATTATGTTTAGATTTGGACTTTGGATTGTTGTTAAATACTTAAATTATGTTGAGATTATTGTTGAATTTAAACTTTGAATCATGTTGGACAATAATTAAGTTGTTATTGTCTTATTAAAAAATAGAAATCTAAAAAAAAAAATTTTTTTTTTTAAAAAATATGCTGACATCATTATAATGTGTGATGATATCACCGGTCCAACCGACGGTCCAACCAGTTAGACCGGTTGAACCGTGACCTGGGTAGGAGAGTGGGTTGCCCTCCGGTCCAGTTTTTAAAACAATGCTGCTGATGATAAAGTGGTAAAAAAGGAATAATTCTCTAAGTAGGATGTTTTCATGAATACATATTATTGGATCTGAATTATAAAATATCATTTTAGTTTCATGAAATAAATCAAAAGGAGTATAAGTATGATATAGACAAAATTAATATCAGAACATCCTGATTAGAAATTTACTCATGATAAAAAATATTAAGCTAATATTAAATGTAATTATATTTAACTTCTAATTAGATGAATGTAAATAAACTATCTACAAGGAGTGTAGAAAATTTAAGTCACAATATCTTTACTCTTTATTAATTTACAATTTTTTTTTAATGATTTAATGTTTATATCATTTTTTCTCTTATGAGATGCTTAGCATGAAACTTAATACTTTATTTAGAAAGTACTATATACCCCTTTACAGTATTTTTGATAATTTTGTTAGGGGGTTTTATACTTTGAATGAGATGAATGAGTTTCAAATTAAATTATTTCACGAGCGAAAAAATGAAATAAACCCTCTACTAAAACGGAAAACAGAGAAACGGTAATATCATGAAAAACTAATATTATATATATAAAAGTTTTGGTCAGATTGTGGTTTTAACGTTTAAAACAAAATTTTTTTTTCTCTTTTATATTTATTTATTAATGCACCACAAGAACGTATATAAATGACACTCAAATTGTTTGTCAACTTATCTTGAATTTGTCATTGTTTGAATCTCAAACTAAATGTTATGAGAGAAAATATCAATTTTAAGATCAAAGTTCTTGTTTTACAGAAAATCATCGTGAGACAGTTGATATAGAAAATAAGAATATAAAGCAATCTATCAGAAGAAATTATCAATCTTTTTATGCAGTTTAAGCAAGTTCAATCAACACAACTTGAAAATTTTACAAAAGTAAACACAAATACTTATGAACTTTGCAGTCTCTAATTTTACATTCAATTTGACATTACATAAATAAACATTCATCGAAAGCGTGTAAAACTGAAGTTTGTAAAATCCGTCAATGTTCTAAAGGCTCGACAGCTGTTTTGAAAAGGAGAATATAAACCTTGTCAATTGAAAAATACAAGAAGCCTCCAAGTGAATGTGTAACGTAGGAACCAAAGCTTGCTCCCACAATGCAGTGCCAAGCTGGACCATATGAACAGTCAAATTCCTGAAATAAAAATCCAACGTAATCTCATCATAAATTGCATAGAGTGAAAATAAATAAAGGTGTTTGTAGGAAAGCTATAGCCCACGATGTCGGAATATATTGAAGCAACTGTAAACTTGTACTATTGAACGATAAACTTGTAACATTTAACAATAAACTTATAAAAATATGATATAACAAGTTTTAATATAAACTTTATAACATTGTAAAGGTAACTTTTATGTTATAAATCACAACGTTGCATGTTATAACATTCATATTTTACAGGTTTACCGTTAAATGTTACAAGTTTATCCTTAACTATTACAAGTTGAATGTTAGTTTTACGGCATTGATAACAGGAAAAATGCCCTGTCTGATAGCGAAGTCAATGTTGACAATGTCTTATACTAAGCTTCATACAAAGCAAGTTAGAGGAAATCAATATAAATAATGTTAACGGTAGAGTTAACCAACTCTCTCACTCCCTATCTTCTCCAGATTTTAGTGAAGGTTCTATTTTACACAAGGATGATATAGACTGCAAGAGTCCTGAACTAGAACACTCTTGGGTTTCACAAAGGCGAAATCAAACAAAAGAGGTAGCAATAGGAAGATCTTGCACAATGACTATCAGAGCAAAACAATGTCAAAAATACTCCAAAATATACCAGTAAACAACATGAATGAAACTGATTTTCACACGTTTTAACATCAGTAGGGAATGCTTTGCTTGAAAAACTTTCTGCAATAGCACTCCCAAACACATCTAAAACAACTAGGAATTAGCATCCCGAGTACCCTTGTACTTCAATTTGTTAATAATGGAGATTTTCAAGTTTGGGTTTGACATAAAATGACAAAATCATAACTAAAAGAAAAAATCACGAGCAAGAGAGAGCCAGGACTAGATATTTTCTTTGTTGGGAAGGAGCAGAAAGCTTTCTCAAGCAATACAGAAGGCATTTTGGTTGATTCTATATAAAACCCTAATGGTTTTAACAAATTCCTATGTTAACAGAGTGGAACATAATAATGAGTACAACATTAAAAACCAGGGTGCCATTTGCTAAGAACCAACTCAAACCATAGTGTTAAAACATGAGTTTATTCTTGAAACAAATCTGAATAATAAAAGTTCTTCAGTGCAACAGTTTAGGAATCACAAACAATATGCTAAGCAAACTGAGTTAAACCATAGTGTTGAAATGAAAGTTTTATCGTCAAAACAAATCTGGAAAGGAAATTTGCTTACAAGCAAGACTATAATGTGAAAGTAACATTTATACCATGATCTGATATAACAAAAAAAACTGGCCCAATACTCAGCATCAACACCCTTTACAGTGAAAATCTAAATGATTAACTAATTGATCAATTCAATCTTAGACTGAAAGGAAAAGGATTGCAGTGGAGCGACAAAAACCAAAAGAAAAGGGGTAGTTTTTAATCTAAATGCACAAGAAGGTTTTTATTGAACCACGTACATGTACACAGATTAACCCATACCAAACAACAAAACTGAAATGCAAAATTATAAAATGTTCATAGAAGTGTAAATAACATACCAACCACGAAAGCTATTCAATTGATTGGAAAATAATGAAATAAATCATTGTTAACAAACAAAACAAAATATGTGAGCATAAATAATCAATAGGACAGCCTGTGTACAGAATTCAAGTTTACTCTGTCAACTTTCAAAGTCAAAGGTACAATTAGAATTTCCAAAAACTACAAAACAGAGATCACATTTCAGGAAAAAATAAAAAAAACAGAAAAATTCTCAGTTAATTATGACACAATAAAAAGATTAGACAGTGCAATACACTAAAAATCAAGCTTCTATATACTTTCTTTGAAACAAATTAAACACTCAAAATCAAGCAAATACAAAAATACTCAATACCCTTCTGCAATCACTAAAATAGTCATTTATCGCATACAAAAAAAAAAAAACAAAAAATGAAAATCACAACCCAGATAAATAAATAAACATAATTACAGTAATAGCACAAGCTAAGACAAATAATCAATCAGATCAAAAGTATAAATTACTGAACACCCATTACTCTATATTATAAACCAGAAAAGAAAAAAACAAATTACAGCTCACAAAAGGACTAATTTTCAGCTGAGTCCAAGACATTTATTCGACTAGACCACCCAAAAACAATAATTTTAATCAAAAAGCATTAAACCCATCTAACCTTAGACTCTAAACTAAAGACCACAATCCAGAAACATAAAATAAAAACAAAATAAAAAATCAAACTGCAGAAAACAAGTACACAAAATTTACTTGATACCCCAAACACTGAAACGACCAATTCACGCACCAACAAATCAAAGCTGAAAACTTGCAACAAGAACATTATAAAAGACTCGATCTTGAACCAAAATTTTCTTGTTCTTGTTCTTTTTTTTTTTTTTTTTTCATTTACCTTCTTAAGAGCAAGAGCAAGGCGTTTACTGTCAAGCTTTCCAGGCATGGTGTCAAGATGGTCACGTGCACATTTGAACGCTTTGTTTTGTAAAGGAAGAGGCATATCACAGGCTCTAACGCGAACATTAAACTGATCGTTTTGATCCTGTTGCTCTTTGGCTTTCTTCTTCTGAATTAAACTATTCAAGAACTTGCTTCTTCTCTCCAGCTCCTCCGCAGCCTCCATTTTGAACAGAAACTTTCTTTCTCTCTACTCTCTCATCACCAAAAAGGTTTAGAAAATGAAACCCTTGTGTTGTTGACACTGCTTAAGTCTCTAAATCATAGCCAGTGTAATGCGTGTTTGATAAAAGGCCTGAGAGAAGCCAAAAAGAGAAAAAGAGAATGCGTAACAGAGCAAAAAAGTTCAAGAGAGAAGTAACAAAGGTCTCGATCGTATTATATAACGTAAAATAAACTAGAGTAATATCCATACACTCCTTTAACTTTGGAAAAATTCATTTGGACCCATGGGTTTCCCAATTTATAAAATCTGGAATATCATAAGGATATCATGTCACTTATATCATACGCCAACGCATTTATGCCGTCTATGAATTTATTATCTTATTTATCTTTATTGTTAATATGATTAATAGTTATTAAATTGAAATATTATGTGATAGCACTTAAAAATATTTAAAAAAATATAAAGAAATCTCTTCCAATCTACACCCTTAAATAATTTCTAGAAATTTAAGAAACTAAAGCTTCCATATAAAACTTAAAAATTTTATTTTATTGGTACACAGTAAGAGGGATTTAAAAATTTGATTATATGTTTTAATTTTCTATAAGTATCTTTAAGAATATAAATTGAGTAGAGGCTTTAAAATTTCTTAGAAGAATCAATGGCGCTCCATTCCTGTAGGGGCAGAGAACCATTGCCCATTTTGAGTTGGGCATTTTAACCATTGAGGGGTAATTTGATCACAATAGTAGTCAAAATAATTCAATAGTGAGGTGTAAGATTCAATTGTAATTTTTGAAATGTTAGGGGTTATATAAATTTTATCCAATAAAATAATATATATTGTTGGTTTATTTTAAAGAGGTTTTTAGCGTATCAACAACGAGGTCAGTGTTGGGTTAGGCGTAGAGGAGACAAAACTAGCTTCTTTGATTGGCAATTTGCCGACCATAAATCACGCGGAAATCCGGAAATTCTGGGACCTACCTCAAGGCTCAAACGGGAAATTTACAATTTTGTGTTGAGGTATGCTTGAGTAGATTGGCTTTAAAGCATAAACACCCTTCAAGTTTAGTTTAAGTAATAGTTAAATTTGGAGTTCTGAGCAAATAACATTATAATCTTAAACGTTATAATATAGTAATATTTTCATCCAAAAAATAACGGTCATTGACCTAATCCGTTATTTAACGCACCAAATCCTAAAAAAAAAAGATTAAAAAAAGAAAAACTCTTTTGTTTTATTTGATTGTAAATAAAATAAACAAAACAATAATTACATAGAGTAAATATAAAAAAATTAGAAAAAATATTTTTTATCAAACAAAATTAAAATAATAAGGATTTTAATTAGAGAAAAGAACTTTCTAATTACAATTTTTTAATAGTATAATAATTAAAAAAATAATATAAAAGATGCAAATTATAAAATTAAGAAATAAAACAAAAAAATGTTAAACAAAATAGTTACCCATGATTAATTTTGTTATCATATGATACAAAAAAGATAAACTCTTGCTTTTAATACATGGTTAATTTCCAATACATTCCAACTTTACCCCTCCATCTAACAGAGTAAGCTAATAGCAGTTACTTTTGGATGAAAATGTTATTAAAAAATTCTACTAAAATAGAATGTTACTAGGCAAACCTCAAGGACGCAACTGTAATCATCTCCCTCAAACTGTGACATCAAAACATTAATAGATAGATTGAGATGTTATCACTTAATTGCTTTGAAGACTAAATTATTATACTATTTGAGCTAATCTATTATGCCTAGTTAGATAACTTTTTTTGGCTCAAACTTTGATAAATGCTCACTCTTATTTAGAGTTTGTTAATTACCTAAAATATTATTTCTATTATGTAATAATATTTACCTGTCCTAATAAATTCGACACCAAATCTATTTTTTTTATTGGAAGTTTTTTCTGAGTTATAATAATAAACACAAAGAAAAACTATTTCTACGCGATCAAGTAGTTCGATAAGGACTTCTGAATATATTATTCAAGAGATTTTGAGTTTGAGTCTCTTCTCAATTGTTAATATGAATAGTCGTTGGAGCTCTTATTTAGCTAATAGTTTCAAGGCCTTAAAAGATTAATTGAGATACACATAAATTGATCCGGACACTTCCACTCACTAAAAAAATAAAAATAAGCACAAAGGTATACCCATTGACAACTTTTTTAGGCTTTAATTTCTTTGGTATTAATAATGGAGTAGGTTGAAAATTATTGCAACATTCACATGCCAAAAGGGATACAAGAGTCGTACAACTTTGAATTGACCCGGTAAATATTCTGAAAGTCTAAAATTTTGGGCCAAGAATGGTTAATATTGGGGTTGGATTTGGACGGATCCAGTTAGATCTTCGAAATTCATCAAAGAGAAACGAGATAGGGGCCCATGGGGGCATGGACCTGCACACTTTTTGGAGCTCCCAGAAATTGCGGATATAAAGAAAGAAGTAGGGGCCCCTAAAACATTAATTTCATCCTTTTACTTCTAATAAATGCTCTTATTTGGTCAAACTTTTCTTCAACTTGTAAGCTAAGCATAATAATTAAATTTTATTAATCATAATCATATTGTACTCTGTAGACGTAGGTCCACCTACATAATTATGTTACGATAGATTTATAATATATGTTAGAAATTATCATTTCAATTCAATGTTGTAAGCTTTGTTTATAAATAATTAATTTATATATTTTGTATCGAAGTTAATTTTATTTTTTTCCTTAAAAGAAGGATCGGATAACACGTTACTCATCTTAGGTATTTGAAATGATAGTTTTTACAGGTGAAAATTACAAATACCCCTATATCGGAGAGTATCAAAATAATCCTTTGTGAATATTATGGGGTGCGTTTGGTTTATTACTTTGGATATGATTTTGGGAATAATATTGAGTAGTTGGATAGGAGAGTATTACGAGGTAAAATTTAAAATTTATAAAAAAACCTCCTAGGTTTGCTAATTTGATAAACACCCCAATATATTAAAATATTATAAAATGACAAAAAATACCCCTACCACCCGCAGTGCTAGATTCCAGCCATCACCGCCGGAATCTGGTTAGAAAATTTTTTAAGGACACATACCGGTCGGATCTAGTGGGTATTTGATCGATATGACCTTTTCTGGTCAAATCCACCACGGATCTGGTCGGAAAAGGCCAGATCTATGGTCGGATGTGGCCATTGACGGTCGAAAAATTCCATCTTTGACAGCCAGATCAGTGAATTACCGGCCATTTTCGGTGGTGGTGTGACTATTGTGAGAAATTCCGGCTACCACCGGCGGTAGTTGCCGGAATCTGGCAAGTATTGGTGGGTAGAGGTGTTTTTATTAATTTTTAAACCTTTTTTTTGGGAGTATTTAATGAAATTAATAAACTTAAGGGGTCTAAAAGTAATTAACAAAATAGACTAATATTTCTAGAATAATGTGCCAAACAATATTTGGGGAATAGGATTGGGAATATGGGTAGAAATAATATGCCAAACGCACCCGGATACCCCATATAGGTCCTATCAATGTTTGATACCCCTTGTTAGATAATATCGGATACGTTTTGTTGTCTTCAACCTTGGGTTGAAAAAGAGACTGACACCATTGGTACCCTGATACCCTTCGATATGTTGTCCCAAGTTTCGTCAAATGCTTCAAAATATTTTGATTTTCAACATTCCTATCTAAAAATTAACCAACATAAACCATTCAGCTACATAAATATCCTTCAATTTGATAGGGATTGTATTATAGAAAATGTGTTAGATGAGTTTTAATGATTGAATAATGAATTTTGATTAAGGGTTAAGGAATTATAAACGAAGGCATTTCCAATGAGAAATTTTTATTTTGCGAGATATTTTTCCAATGTTATAAATATAGCTTACAATGTTACAAATGATTTTTTTGGGTGATAATAATTGTCACATTCATTACATGAATGAGTGGTGTTACATATGCAGATTAAGTATATTTAACTCTTGTATACAAACTGATTTGGTATAATTTTTAAATTGACATATCATTCATCCACTTTAATTAAACATATATTAAGTTAACTTTAATATATATTCCTCCATCCATTTTATGCTACGTTAATTTACATACAAAGTTTATACATCTTTTATTATTCCAGAGGCAAAGCTTGATATAAGCGTGTGCCTCCTTTGCCTCACAAAATTTTTAGAGTTTATATAAAAATATATCATTTTTTTTTTCTGTTAAAACTAGATGTATTATTTGACCCCCCTTATTTGTTGAGTTTTTTTTTTTTGGCCCCATAATTATACTTCTTATATTAACTTTTATTCTAATTTTGCTCTTTCTCAACTTTCATGTCTCCGCTCTAGCAACTCTAGCGCTAGAGTGGTCCATTCTAGCATTAGAATTTTTTTAATTATTCTACAAATTAGTGTTAGAAATTAAATATTAATTTTTTTTTGAACTAACAAATAAATTAACTAATTATATTTTATAAAATAAAGAAATATAATTTAAAAAAAGAATCGTAAATGTATATAAGAGTTATTCTAATTTTCTAAAAATAATTTTTTTTAAATAATAAATTTACATTAATTTAATCATCTAAAATCCAATGCTCGATAACACCTGTCTATGGCCCTACGCCAATGTCTCATTATCAAATACCATCGCTACCCACTTCCGATTCTTGATTGCCATGGCAAGCTCTGGCAGTGACAACCTCCTCCTTTCATCTTTTGAGTTCCAAGTAAAGGTGGAAAAGCAACCCGACCCGCGACGGGTTGTTGCAAATGGTGGGTCGGTCTTGACCCGCCCGACGACATTGGCGGGCCGGGTTAGGCCTGCCAACATTAGAGAATTGGCTGGCCCAACCCGGACTGCCAACCCTAACCCGCTGGGTTAGGCGCGGGTTGGGCCGGGTTAACCCGTTTTTTGACTTTTTTTTTTAATTTTGTTTTGTTTTGTTTTGTTTTTATTATTTAAGTTTAAATGTTTAATTAACTTTTCAAATGAATAATTAATAATTTATAAATATAATTGTTCTTAGTTAATTGTTAATTTCTTTTCAAATATCAATAGTTAAATTAAATTAATTTTTTTTGTTAACATTCCAAATATTAATTCAATTTTAATACATTAAAATTGTAATATAAGAATAATTAAATTTATTCATTTATTAAAAA